CCCTTCCCCCTCCACGACTTATCCAGTTGTGTTAATTAGACTCACAGCTTCGGATGGTCCACGTCTTTATCATAACTGATCAATGTCTTGATATTTTGTGTCAAAGTTTGAGCTAATCGTGGATATAGAATTTCAGGAATTGATGAATTGGTAAACTTAGTGTACTTTGTAGCCATCACAGTAAAGAAATTTAAAACACCATCGGTTTCCACTCATCTTTGGTGGCATCAGTGAAATATCAACACAAAGTGCGAACTGCCAGTGAACGACAATCATTATCCTACTATTTCCCTGTTAAGTGTGAGCGGAATCCATGTTCAAATTTCACATATTAAAAGCCATGGTATCTTCACTCCGACAAGTTACTAAACAAAGATAACATAGTTAACTTAATAGGTTTTTACAAGATTTCAATTGAGTAAAAAACCTCCTGGAATACAATACAGCTTTTAAGAAAATCATTTGGGGTTGCTAAGTAACCATAAATGGAATGTTACCGTCGCCAGGGAAACTGTGCAAGCAAGCGTGATGCAATGGATTTTCACAAGGCTCGAAGCTGCCAGGATGATAGTTAGCATAACTATGTTCTAATCCTACTTTTCGCCAGGACTGGGAATGTTTTAGGATTTCTCTTCCATACCGATTCCTTGCGTACAATCCAGGACTAAACTTCGTATCAACCCAGTTGCCACCAATGTTTGCTTTGGTAAACGTTTCGTGGTTTTGTAGCTCATGTGGGAGGTACACAGTATTCGACATAGAAGGCCTCCCTGTCCCAAACACTTCGATGTTAAATCCACCGAAGTCGACCCTCACATAACCATTAAAACTATCATACATTTTTCTATCAAGTATCGGCGATTCATACCCAGTTAAGCTGTAACCATGTTTCTCAAAATAATCGACTGTCTCCCTTTTGTTGAAAATTGGGATATCTTTTGAAAATACAAAAAAATCTCCATCGATGTCCCAAGGAATAAGGCCATTAAACTTAACACCACCTAACACTGAACCACTATCCAGCTCAAATCTGACATTGTGCGCATCGGCAAACTTCTGGAAAAAAGACACGGCATCTGCATAGAGTTCCTGACAACAAACTGGGAGTAAACCGTTCTGGGCGTGATTAACGCAATTGAAACCAATATCTTGACAAGTGAAGGAATGTTTGACTCCCTGAGGCAATAACACCCTATTAAGTTGCCACTTCTTGGCCAATGGTGTCCACACCTTCTTATCAGTTCTTTTGGAATACGAATGGTAATCTCTAGTGAAATACATAGCATCTGGACATGCCATGATCAGGGCGCCATTTTGAACAACACGTAAAAACCAATCGTCAAACACAACCTCATCTGGAAGG